AGAGAAGAAATCATCTACTAATTCTCCAGTCTTCATATGTAGCGCTTCAAATTCTGCACGAAGTGCTTGGAGTTGCATTCTCTTTGCCTTTGCATCCCCTTGATATTTTTTCTTCATTGAGTCTCAGATGTTTTTTGGACGTATCTTTACAAAGAATTGTTTCCAAGGTAGATTGATCAATTGCTTGAAAGAGATTGTTCTTTGCTTTGAGATCCTTCAACTTTAATGCCTTATATTCTTTTTTTTACTGCTGTGTCAACATAGTTCCAGCCACTGGTTCTGCTACACCAGATTCAACAACGTTCCAGTACTCCTTGGACCTCAAAAAATTTTCCATCAGCATGCACTAGTGATCATAATGGCCATCAAAGTGTGGAATGACTAGTTGCACAAATGTTGCTTCAGTTGCCATCAACTCTGCTTGTCTCCTTCACTAGCTTACTGTAATTTTCTCTTCCTCACCTGTTGCAAAAATGTTTCAAAGAAGTTATGATACCAATTGTTGATTTTAGGATTGAAAAATAAAAAAATATATTTAAGAGGAATTTTAGCAAACACTTGCTGAGATAGAAAAATAAAAAACTTTTCATATTTTATTTCAACGAGTTGTACACTTTTTTAAACAAAACTTATAGTATAAATACTCAAGATTGATACAAAATAGGAACAGCCAACAAGATAAGAGGTAATTGACTTATTCCTAAATATTAGGATTATACAATAGCTAAATTAGAGAATCCTACTCAAAGATAAATTTTAACTAGTCAACGGTGAATCCATAACCTGCAAGTCTCAGGATCAATAAAAAAACCTTATTATTTTTTATTTTAAATTTGTAATTAATTATGATGCCTCTTATATTTGTGAACAAATTATTTTGTGAGAAGATAAGTGTATCAATGTATAGTTATGTTGTATATATAATATTTATTGATTTCGGTAATTGAAAATAGTGTGTAAGCGTTTGTATCCATCAATATTGAGGGTCGGGCTATTATATACACACACATTATATATCTTTCAATAAATTAATCTCAAAATTCATACTTAACATCACAACCAAAGAGAAAAATAAATAATATTTAAAGAGAGAATGCCACACTTACAAATTTACACACTACAAATAAAGATTATTGATTTAAATCTAAGAATTTATTGAACTTGAAAAATATTTAATGGGTAAGCATCCACCACTGAAATAATAATAAATAACAGCGTACAACATACAATTTACTAGTGTTTAACAGATACTTATACCTTTTATTGTAATTTTGATCAAAAAATTTGAAGTTTAATCCGGAATATATTAGAATTAGAGGCGTCCACAATCATACTTGGTATGAGCATTTGGGTCGCGGAAGAGCACAGCCATGAAAATCATAATAAATATTTTCTTAATTAACGAGGAAGTATCAAGCAACGAACCAACAAGATAGGTTTGTGTAGACAGCCAAACCAGTCTCATCCTTCTTTCTTTTATATACTCGTCCAAAGCTTCTTCAATCTTTTGTTTTGAATCAAGCTTTTTCGCCAAACACTTCGCTAACACCACTGCGTCTTCCATGGCTGCCGACCCACCTTGAGCTAAAAATGGACCCATTACATGCATCGCATCTCCCGCCACTGTTACCGTCTCTCTCCGAAAGCTTCCCAACAGCACCTCCCACGGTGGCCTATAACTCAAATGAGTGAGCGATAATGAATTTAGATCACACCTCTTGACTACCTCAATTCTTTCAGCTGGAAATTTGTGCTCGATTAATGTCTCTATAGCTTCTTTTTGTATCTGCTTCGGATCATGTCCCGCTTTCGCAATATCTATAGTCAAAACCCAGAAACAAAAACATGATTCAGAGATTTTGATTGATTGTTTTTAAACATTTACAGTTTGAAATTTAACAATGATTACCGGTAGGATTCCATTTGTGAAGTAAGAACCAATATAATAGGTGATCGTTGACAGGAGCTCCTCCCGACATGGTGTTGCCGCTTCTCATTCTTACACCCTCCATGGGCAACCCATGGCGCTCTGGATACTCTGTAAATCCTCTCACGGCCAATAAACCGAATAACCTTTTTGGCTTTAGTCCCAGAAAGTCACCTATTACTGAATTGGCCCCATCACATCCGATCAAAACCTATTTGTATATATGCCCAGGTAACTTTCTATATATACATAGAAGACAATATATATGTGTGTTGTATATGTATCTGAATATATTTGTGTGTATATATACCTTGGCTCTAATGGTTTTTCCATCTTGAAGGTGAAGAATAGGGTAGGAAGACGAAGGGTCCAACTCCACTGAAATGATTTGGGAATTAAACCGAATGGTTCCAGATGGAAGATGATTGGCGAGTGCGTTGACTAAATCGTTCCGTTTCAGGCACTGACATTCCCCAACTCTGACAATATATGTAGCTTATGTCAAATAATATCATCTAAAAAAGACAATCCTGAACGAAAAATGAAATGCTTATCTATATATATATATATTATACATGGGTTTGTCAACGTGCGAGATGAGTGAATTTGTCGATCTACGCCGGTTGCCGTTGTGAATTGATACACTCCTTCCACTGTTTCCATATATACATATATATAAAATTATGGGTGTTAAATATTGTATATTCATCTTTTCGTAAGAGATATTGTGTATTCATAATTCATATATTTTACAGAAAGAGAAGAAAAGAGACAAAGGTGTAGCATTATATATATATATATATGCATATGTGTATGCATATGTATAGAGAGAGAGAGAGAGAGAGATACCCGAGAAGTTGGAGGGCAGTTGAGCGGAGGTCCGAGGCAACGCCAAGCTGATCAAGAACTCGCCAGCCATTTGGGAAGACACCGATGGCAGCTCCCGTCTCACGAATACATTCTGCTCTTTCCAGAATCACACTCTTTATTCCTTTCCTGCATCCAGTTAAGTAATTATACATATATATATATTTTAGGTTTCAATTTTTAAGAAATATTAAATATTTATAAGATAATATTATTGATACATTAACAATAATTATAAGAAACCTGTGAAGAGCCAAAGCAGTTGCCAGACCGCATATGCCACCACCTCCTATTACTATCTCAATCTCTTCCATTTCTTCCACCCCTTTCCTTTTGCCAGTTATATTTATCGATCTTTCTTTCTTTTCTTCTCCAGTAATTATGAATAAAACTATGTGTATTTTGTGGGGCGTGTTTGGGTGTGTGTGTGTGTGTATATATATATATATACATGTGTGTATAAAGTCTGGTCGACCTGTCGTCATCTGTCTCTTTAATCATGGTGTCGGGATGAACAACTCAACAGCTCATCATTAGTCACTTACCAGCCACGGTTTTCGTTACACAAATGATGAGCACGCGCAATACAAAAAATTTGTTTTAACAAATATTGTAATTATTTGTTTTCTCTCTCGTAACGCCCTTTCCTCTTTCCTATGTATATATATGTAATCTTATCCATAGCATAACGTTGTAAATTTCTTCTACAAATAGAATTGATTTCTCTTTTCAAATTACAGTTAAGAGTTGCTTAACCATATTCATCTAATATTTTCCCTTGGAAACGAGAAAAAGAACAAGAAACAAACACCTCAAATAGTAACATAAGGATAAAAGCATTAAACTTGTCATAAAACCTTATTGTCTCTTATTGCACGGTTAAGTTGAACCATAACAATTTTTCTTGGTGGAAGAATATGATTCTTCCAATCATCAAAGGCAACAAGCTTGAAGGCTATATCGTAGGTGTGAAATCTTGTTCACCTGAGTTTTCTCAAGTTCATGTTGGTGTGAAGAATGTTGTTCTATTCTATAATTGCCACCATCAGCAATATAAAGCAACCAAGTATGCAAACTTGTCCAGATCAACAGACAATTCTATTCAGCCATCCAACGCAGCACTAACCTTCAAGATAAAAAATGCATGGTCAACAATTGGAAAAGAAGAACCGTAATCGTCCCTTCCTGCCAGGCACTCTGATGTCCTTTTTATTTTTTGCATTTTCGATTTTAATCCTCTGTAATGATGTTTGCTTATTTGTTTCCTCTCCTGTGCTGATTGGCTCTTTTTTAAATTACAGCTCATGCTTTATAAATTTATAACTTCTTGTTATCAAAACATCTATCAAAAACAAAGCTGTGAAGTGTCAAGCTTGATTGACTTAAAGAATAGTTTGCTAATTTTCTTAACTTGGTATCAGAGCCACTGATATGGTCGGAGAAAACAGCAACTCCTCTACCTTCAATCCAACACCTCAAAGAATTCAAGCATTGCCCAACAACGCAATGGCCTGTGTGTGTACATTGAAGCTCAGCCATGACAACTTTCTTTTTTTGGAAAAACATGGTTCTCTCAATTATTCGATGGAAGAAACTTGAAGGCTTCATTACAGGAGCCAAACCAAGTCCACCTGAATACACAAAAAAAGTGGTGAAAGGGAGCTCCGAAGTAGAAATAGCAGTAAACCCCGACTTCGAAGATTAGTTTGCCTAAGATCAAATGCTACTCGGGTGGCTCTACAGCTCAATCGAAACTAATGTAGCTTCAGAACTAATGTGGTATCCAACATTAAAACTTCTTTGGGATGCCATCCGAGACCTATTCACAATAAAAAAAAAAAAGAGCAAATGTAATCTACTACAACAGAGAATTTATTAAAATGCAAAAAGCAAACCTGAAAATGGAAGAATACCTGAAGGCCACAAAGAACATATCAAATAACCTTGCTTTAGCATGTCATCCCGTAACAATGGA